GGCAGAAGCGGATCGGGAGCGGCCAAGAGGGGGGTGTCCAAGAGGGGGGGGTGCAAATCATGACCGGCGGCATGTGCGCGGCCCAGCGGGGGGGCCAGGGACGTAATGAAATAAGAAGAGGCGCCATGAGATTTGGGGAAATATCATGGCCCACGCCATGATATCCACCCCCCCCTAGTCATCACCCCCCTCTTTTCCGCCCCCGACAAGGGGAGGGCAGAAGCGGAGTGCCGCCGAGCAGGGCGCGCCTTCGAGCCGCCCTTCGCGCCCTTGGCCTTCGCGCCGGGCGGGCCGCCTCCTGGTGGGCCGCGGGGGCGTGCCGGCGCCAAGAGCCGACTTGTCCAAGCGGAGTGGCCGGTGGTCCCAGAACTCCTCTGGGCCTACTACGAAACCTCCCTAGACCCAAACGATGGGCACCAGCAGGCCGTCTGAAAACGTTTGGGCGTGGTCTTGGGTCATCTTGGGTGTTGTCGTGGACCGTTCAGGACCATCAACGTATCGGGCACGTCGGGGTGCGTCTTGGCATCTCTTGAGCAACGTTGGGGTCTTCTTGGGGAAACCATCAATAGGCAGGATTTTCAAGCACCGTGTGAGCATCCTGCTGGGTAGTCGAAGCCAATCTGGCGCCAATCTGGCAGGCCCAATCTGGCAAACGGGGGCAATCTGGCGAGGGAGCCAACGCGAATCCAGTCTGGCGAATGACCCAAATCACCCAATATGGCCAGGCCAGATTGGCCCTTGGGGCCCAATCCAGTCTGAAAGTCTGGCCTTCGATTACCCAGCTAGACCCAAACGATGTTCCCAAACTCTACGAATGAATGCAAGGCTCTCAGGGCATGAAGCCGATGGGTTGCCATGTTTGCCAGCGTGGATTGCGAACAGTCATTGATCGCGCCCTGGATGCGTAAACCACGTGGTGCAAGCTGTATGGTTCAAGCTATGTGGTGCAAGCTATGTGGTGCAAGCTGTGTGGTGCAAGCTATGTGGTGCAAGTTCGGCGGTTCAATCTGCGCGGTGCAAGCTATGTTGTGCAAACAATGTTGTGTAATTCATTTTGTGTAAATTACGTGGTGCAGTGTGCATGGTGCAAGCTGTGTGGTGCAAACCGTTCACTTGCTCCACTTGAAACCGTCCTCTCCACTGCTCGTGCAAACATCCCACCCTCCCGCCCGCAACTTGGTCGCAAGACCTCAAGACCGTGACGGCTGGTACCACATTGCACCTGGCAGCGACACCGACACCGACGACGATATCTCCAACGACTTCGACGACGACGACAACGACGACGACGACAACGACACCGACGACGACGATGACGACGACGCCGACGCCGACGACAACGACGACGATGACGACGACGACGCCGACGACGACGACGCCGACGACGACGACGACGAAGACGACGACGACGACGACGTCGCCAACGAAGACGACGACGACGAGGGAGGGAGGAGGGCGACGACGGCGACAACGACGACAACGACGAGGGAGGAGGGAGGACGGGGACGACGCGAACGACGAAGGAGGGAGGACGGCGACGCCGACGACGACAACGACGAGGGAGGAGGGATGACGACGACGACGCCGACGACGGCGACGAAATGGGAGGGACAACGACGAAACGCCGACGACAACGACGAGGGAGGAAGGACGACCACGGCGACCTCGACGACGGAAACGACGACGACGCCAAGACGACGACGACGACGACGAGGAAAGACAGAGGACGACGACGGCGACGACGACGACGACGACGAGGGAGGAGGGAGGACGGCGACGACGACGACGCAAAAGCGCGCGCGCACGCTTTTGTTGAAAATCCGTGTTGCGAAACCCAGTGTTGTTGTATGTTTTTATTTTAAAAGCTCGATTTTGAAATCCTTCCGAAACCCAGAATGTTTGAAGGATTTCGGCATGCGCGCGACGACGACGCGCGCGCACTTCGTCCCATGTTTTGCAGAGGACTCTCGCGACTGCACGCGACATGCGCGCGCGAAGCCCGTTTTATAGCACTTCTTGAAATTATAGGAAAACATGGTTTCCTTAATAGTTCGCAAGAACGCACGCGTAGGCTGTATATTTTTTGTTGAAACTCCGCTTTAAAATCAAGGAGTCGCTGCATATCAAGGCGGAAGAACCGCTCAAGTTCGCGACGGACTCCACCTCGGGCGCGTCAAATCCGGCCAAGTGGTTGATCTCGCGAATGGTGTCGCACGTGGCCCCCTGGACTTTGAGCCGCCGGCGGGCCCTTTACTCGGCCACGCGCGACAGCGTCTTGCAACCAGCGTCACACTGCTCTAAACGTGGGCGAGCCAGGGGAAGAGAACCGCCCCCTTCTCAACGGCGGCGCTCCGACGATGAATTGACCCTTCCTGCGCCGCGCTGCGGCCAGAGGCCTCCGCGGCGCTGCCTTTCTTCAGGGGTGCTCCTTTCTGTCGCCCTTCTTGCCGCCCTTCGTCTTCTCGGCGGCGTCGGCCTCCTCGCGCGCCTTCCGCCGCTGCTTCATCGCCTCCGTCTCCTTGCTCTTCTTGTCCGTGGCGTACTGTGCCAACGCGGGGTTGAGCGCCGCGCCTCGACGGAGGCCCCCTGTCCTGTCCCTGCCCAAGTAGTGCTCCAGGCCCTCCAGCTGCAGGGTGCCACTGGTCTCCTCCACCAGCTGGCGCAGGCGCGCGAGCACCTCCACGCTGGCGATGTTGCCGCCCTCGCACTGGTCGTAGCAGACCGACAGGCCCAGCGCCAAGCCCACCAGGTCGTGCACCAGAATGGCCGTCGAGTCGGGCGCGATGCGCTGCCCCTATGGCCCACTTCGTCTGCCGCGCGTCGAAGGCCCCGCCGTGGTCCCGCGCATGCTGGAAAAGCCACGGCGCCGACCTCTCGCCCCCCGGCGGGAAATCGCCCGTGGGCCCCACCCGCATGCGAGAGACCGCCGCCGAGAACTCCGACCAGCGACGATCTCCTGGGTCGTAGACGACGGGCGACAGCACGCGGACGTCGGCGCCATCTCCCACGAAGCGGGCGTCCGAGGTGCCGGCCAAGGAATTAAACGGGCAAGCGGTGATCACCTGGCCGTCCGGGAGCACGCGCAACGCCCTCTCGCCCAACACCTTATCGCCGTCCCTCAGCTCGAGCTCGTCGCCCAGCATGATGTGATGTGGCGTCCAGCGTAGGAGATCGTCTCCGTGGATGGCCAGCGTGTTGCGACCTTCAGAGTATCTCCGACATCATCCAGAGCTGGTGGGGTCGCCGTGCCAGTGACCACCTCGGGGAGGGCGCCCTCCTCAACTCCTGCTCCGCCAGGTCGCTCGCCAGGAGACCCAGCAGCAGCCTCGACGTCCCACAGAGCGGGCATCTCCGCGGGCGGGGGCAGCGGCGGCCCCTTGCGGCGTCGCCGCACGGCAGCGCCCTCCACGGGCATCGGCTTGCGCTCACCTGTGGCATCAAGATACAAGGTGTGCTCTGGCCGATCATAGCCCATGTCAGCCGCAAGCTGCGAGGCCTCCCTCATGCGGGCGATCAGCGCGGCCTCGGTCAACAAATCCTTGAAGCGATCGGTCCGACCCTGAGGAAGACTGGGAGGGCTCCAGAGGCATCCAGCACCACCGCCCCACACGGACCATCCTCGGGAGTCGTGCACACGACGTCCTCGACGTACATATATCATGGTCTGGCGTCCCTATCGCCCAATGCTGGGCATCAGCCTGCCCAAGAAGCAATCGCTCGTGCCATACATCGTCATCGCTGTAGAAGGCGGCCGCGTAGCCGCCAGGACGCAGCTCACTCCAGAACGCCTCCTCCCCGACGGCGCGGCCGACTCCACGCCTGTCGCCGAGGAGCGGAGCGGCGGCCGCGCCGGTCGGATCGTCCTCTCGCCGACGCGGGGCGCACGCCTTGCTGACCAGCACCACCAGGATGCGCCCCACGGCGGAGCCCAACACCTGCCAGGCGGGCTGCCCTGGGAGCGGGTCCTCGCTCACGCCCTCGGCGCCAGGCCCTGCGCAGAAGCACTCGCGGGCCGGCAGAACGAAGCACGGCAGCGGCTCTGGCGGACCCAGCCACCCGGGCGCCAGCGGGCACCGCTCCTCGCGGGCCGCGCCCGCGCCTGCCGCCGCCGCCGCGGCGAGGGTGGCCGCCTCTGCGGCAGTGCGGGCGGCGTACACCGCGGCCTCCGCGCCAGCAGCGGCTCCCCCGCCTGCCTGGTGCAGGAAGGCCTGGTAGAGGAGGTCCGCGTGGCGCAGCGCGAGGGCCCCGAGGACGCTCGCTGGCGGGCGGCGTGCGGCGGCCGCAGCGCCAGGGCCATGCGACCCCTCGGGGCTGGGCCTCCCCCCTCCTGAGAGAAAACGCTGCAAACCAAACCCTCACTCACTTCCTGAATTTCATGCAAAAGCAAACCCAGGAGGGGGAGGATGATGATAATGATGATGATGAGGAGGAGGAGGAGGAAGATGAGGAAAGGACGAAGAGGAGGAGGAGGAGGAGCAGGAAGAGGAGGAAGAGGAGAAGGAGAACGAGGAGGAGGAGGCGGAGCAAAAGGGGGAGGATGGGGGGAGAGGAGGAGGAGGAGAACCAGTCCGAATCCAAGGCACATCAAAGGGTTTTGCAAACCAGAAAATCCTCCAAGTTTCCTCTTCATGAGGCTCCACAGCAGATAGGGCTAATTGCGGGACGTGCTCCATTCGAAGGCAACCGTTTGAACATCCGCAGTCGTACCAAATCACGATTCTGGGCGGCGTTGCGAATCAATGGGGCTGTTATGTCCTGACAACCCTATATCGCTCCAGAGCGCCATTCCTGGGAGTTCAACGCTGCGAATCAACATGACAGCTGGGTCCTGACAGTTCTAAACCTTGCCTGAGTATTCCTGGGAATTTGACCATGCGAAACTGTTGCAAGCTTTTAAAACGAATGCGCGCGGCGCGAGTGCGATAACCACATGTTGGAACATAACCGCCTTCCATCCTTGAAACATTTGCAGGTTCGCGGCGCTAAAGCGATAACCACAATTTGAAAGCCGCCTGCACTCCTTCCATGAAGCGGTTGGAAGCTTTTACGACGAGTTTGCACGGCGCTTAGAAAACGATAGCAACGTGTAAAAAACGCCCGCCCTTCATCCATGAAGCTGGTGCAAGCTTTTGCAACGAATGTCCGCGGCACTAATGCGAGAACCACATCTTGAAACCACCCGCCCTCCATCCGTGAAGCGGTTGCACATTTCCAGCTTCGGGACATACATGGCGAGGGGGTCGGGGGCGAAACGCCCACCCCGCCCTACCGACACGTCTGTGGGCTCGACAGAGAGGAGTGACTTATAAGGACATATGATGGAGGAGGAGGCGGAGGAGGATGATGAGGAGGCAAGCGTACGACGACGCCGACGTCCCCACCTACTCCTCAGGCTTGGTCCGCCTGAGGTCGCGATGGGCAGCTCGAGCTGCATCGTGATGGGCCTGCAATCGGGAGGAGGCCTCGGGAGGGAGGAGCGGAGGTTGGGGTGGATGTGAAACGCGAGATGAACTTCCTCAAGGGCGGGGACGGTGCAGTAGCCAGGGGTCCCGAGACGGTCCAATGGGTCGAGGCAGAAAAGGCGACATCGGAGGACGAAAGAGAGAGTTGCCACCAGAGACGGCTCCGGGCATTCAGGAGTCGGTGACTGGTGAGCCAACTGCCCGCCAGAGTCGTGAGCCACGCCCAGGCCCGCGAAGGGGGCGCCCTCCTGAGGATCCCTCAAGCGTCGGCACAATCACGGAGCTGGAGAATCTGAGAGCGTTCAAAGAACATCTTGCGCAGCCAGCGACACAACGAATCCTTTGGAGGGCGATCGTCCGAGAGCGAAGCGCACGCTACCTTTGCAGCTCGCTGGGGTTTGAACGCGGCATTCGGAGTCAGAGGGAGCTTGCGCACACGAGCAGCCTCAAGCGCGAGCTCAAACGGGGATCCTGCAGCGGCTGCTGCCAAATACTCGACGTATGCTTTTGCCTTCCAGCGCCGTGGTGACAACAAGCCCTCTGGGACCACAGTCAGGCGCAGCTCGTCGCGGAGAGCAGCACTGCCACGATGCGAGCACAGCCATAGATACAGACGAGCATGCCCAGGGAGAGTGTTTATCGAAGTCTGAGCCAACGTTGCAACGCTCACAATCTCAAGAGGAAATACCTTGGGTCCGCTGAATTCGTGAAGATGAAGCCAATCAAAAGGACTGAGCGTTCCCAGCTAGAGCCAGAATACTTGCGGCACTACTCCCAGCTCGATCTGCTTCGCATACATGGGCAGCGGTAGAAACTGCAGGACATGTTAACACCGACGCGCAACAAGTATTGTACAGGACGGCCGAGGAGGACGCGGCCATGGTCACTTTTCCCACAGAAGCACCACGGTGACGGTGTTTTATGAGTGGCAAGTCCCATGAGTCAAACTCGGTAGCTTCTGGCCCAACCTACGTCCCCAAGTAAAACAACTCCCCCTCGACTCTAAAGTCATTCGAAGCAAGCATGTACACATACAACGACTTGTGAACTGTCATCTTCAATTCTGGCGACATTGGACCCGAGACATAATAATCACACATTTAGCTGGTTTCAATGTGAGGTGCGCTATCTTCTCGGTCACGAAAAGAACTCGACGGAGCTGGAAGGATGATGATGATGATGCTGAGGAGGAGGAGGAGGAGGAGGAGGAGGAGGAGGAAGAGAAAAGAAGAATGAGAAGGAGGAGGAAACGGAGGAGGAAGCCTTGGTCACCACGGGGCCCGGGAGGAACGCGGTGGGGTGCCGCCGGCCGCGCGCGCCGAGTCCTTTCCCGCCCTTGGCAGGGGGGCCCTTGGCTGGGCCGGCGGCGGGCGCAACCTCCGCCGCTGGGGTGGCGCCGCCCGCCTGCGTGGGGCCCGACAGCCCACCTCGGCCAGAACTGTGCGGTTCCGCCACCGAGGGCCCACGGTTTCGGCATGAGGGCCTGGGGTGTGGACACCTCACTCAGCCTGGGGCGTGGAGCGCCCCAGGGGCGGCGCCGGAGGCGGGGCCAGGGTATTGTTAGAAACTTGGAATGCTCGGGGGACCGGTTGAAGCCAGCAGGCACTATTTGGGGGGGCTGTCCGTACGCAGCCCGACGCCTTACGGTGAGGTCATTGGAGAAGGGGCCCTTGGATAGGGAACCCAGGGTCTGGAAGCCAGTGGAACACCAACTAAGGCTTGGCCATGAATATCACCGTCGCCCTCATCAGATGAGGAATTCCTCGAAGGTCTGAAACCTCCTAGGCACATCCTTTCACCAACGCCCCCATCGCAGTACACCCCGCCCAGCACCGCGAGGTTGCGCTATCGAGAGCCTCCCGATCTATCAATTATGTGTCGCCGATTCCAGGTCGACGCTTGTCCCCCTGAGCCACTCTCTCCCTGACGTTCCCCCTCGGCCCTCCCTTCTCCTCTTTCCGCCTCCTTTGCGTCCGTTTGGGCCGCCGCACTAATCGCTCTGCAGGAGCGGGGCCCTGAGATCTGGGCGTTGCGATCTTTGTGCAAATGGTGCTCTCGCCCCCAATTCTTGCCCCCGGGCCATCACAGATCGATCCTGCTCGGAAGATGCAGAAGTAAGATGGGTCTGGGGCTACCTTGTCGCACTTTTTCCTGGCGTGGCACTTTTTTCCTGCAGCATCGGATCTCAGGGGCCGGGGCAAAGCTGGCGCCGCCTGCTTCCAGAAGAGAAAGGCCCCGCTGACTTGTCGAAACATTTGCCGATCCACTCGCCCGCCACTGCGCCTGATAGCGATGACCGTGAGTCGGGTTCTACGAACACACATGTTACCAGATGGATGCGCGCGAGAAGCATTTTGTAGGGATGGCGCCACCAAACACATGAGCACCGAGTCTCAACACGTTCGGCACTCGGGCACAGATTCGAACCTTGAATCTGCGTTTGTTGCTACGCCCCGTGGCACCACCACCTCAGGTCGCGCTGCGGTACCGCCAGACAGCAGCCCCAAGTAAGGCGACGACGACGAGCCCGAGATGGCTCCAAGACGGGACTCGACCGACTCAAAGGGGGCCCGGACCTGCTCCAGACGGCCACAAGATACCTCAAGAAGGCCATCGGCGTCCCCTGATGCCGCCTAGCCTCCTCAAGACAACCCGTCGAAGAACAGGTCCCAAAAAGGATCCACGAAATCACCACGAGTCTTCCAGGGAGACTCCAGGTAAGTCCCTGGGAATTTGATCGTACTTCAGCGCAGGATCACTTTCGTGTATATTTTCCCAGCCTGTCACCCCTGGAAAAACCTTGAATGACTTTCAAGACCATCCGTCGGGCGGCTCCAGACGACTCCCAAACACTTCACGGGGCCCCCTGGGAGATCCGGGACGGCTCCGGCCCAGGACGATCCCAGAACAACCTCAAGAAGGCCCACGGCCGCCGCAAGGTGTGCCACCGACTCTGAACGCGTCCCAAAAACAACACCAAGAGGCTCACAGTGCGCTTTGCAGCAGGCCCTGGAGGAGCAACCCTATTGTAACGCAGTTTGGTATATCATGCTTTTCCAATGCTCGGTATCGCTTAGACCTGCGTCGAGACATCCTCATGATCGACTTCAGGTTGCCTGAGATGGCTTCCCACCGGCTGAAGAAGCTTTCCCAAGAGGCTCGTGAGAGCCCCAGGATGGGCCCTAAGACGGCCCCCTTATGACCACCCGAAGCCGAATCCAAGAACGGTAAATACGGGCACCAGCAGGCCGTCTGAAAACGTTTGGGCGTGGTCTTGGGTCATCTTGGGTGTTGTCGTGGACCGTTCCGGACCATCAACGTATCGGGCACGTCGGGGTGCGTCTTGGCATCTCTTGAGCCACGTTGGGGTCTTCTTGGGGAAACCGTCAATCGGCAGGATTTTCAAGCACCGTGTGAGCATCCTGGGAGCATTTCACAGGAGATGCGAAAGCTATGAGGCCCTCTTCAGGAGCTCTGTGAGGCACCTCGCGAGCATGTTTCGGAAATTGTGAAGCACACGTGACGTCTCAGAAACCCAGCTGTAGTGAGGGATTTGTTCGGGTCAGAGTCTTGGACCGTCTTGGGAACCATTTTTGGCCACCTTGAACCCGTCTGGGAACGTATAAGCTTGTCTGATGTGCATTTTTGGGCCTGTCTTATCTGTGTTGAAATCATTTTCAAGCTGTCTTGGTCCCTTGCGGCTGGCCCTCCCGAAGCGGTCCAGAAGCGAGAGGCGTGCAAAAGGAAACTTATGCGACCAACTTTCATTTTTATAGCGATTCAGGCGTTATGGGAGACTGAGAGTTTTGGAGGTTGCCCTGCTTGGTGGCTTTCTACTGTATCAGGCGCAATGCGTCACATCGCAATGCGCAACGCATAACACACAATTCTATAAGGTACATACTCGGGATACATGTAGCTGGCCCTTAGCCTATCTGTCCTCCGTACGTGCAGTCTGCCCTGCCGCCTGACTTCAGAAAGGTGAGAACCCTAGGCCCCAAATACCTTGGGACGAGCTGGGTTCAGCTTCCATCCGCTGGAATTCTTGCTACCTTTGCGTGGACTTTCCAATTATGGCTATGATTCTGGCTTTGGCTGTAGTGCCTCCGTGACGGTATTCGTGCCTGCCAAGAAGCGGTGAGCAGAGTGCGGAACTTTTTGGGGCCTTTTTGGGCAATCTCCGGAGCCTCCTGGAGCCCTCTTTGGTCGCCATGGAGCACATTTTGAGCCTCCTGGGCAGTCTTCTGGAATGTAACACACTCTTCGGCGTTCTTGGGATTCTTTCGGGGCCTTCTCGGGCTGTCTTTAGGCTCTCTAGGGTCCCTCTCACGGGACCATTGGGGTCCTCCCAAAACAAAAACAAAATGACACCCTTGCGGCAGAATATCCTAAGCAACTTTCAGCATGGGCCAGAGAAGAGGGGCATAGACGAAGACACCTTGAGAGGCCACAACATATACACCCTATACTCATCATAAGGTTGCTTATGCTAAATCTGCCAATGCGATGGGAGGCCACGGGAGACCACGGGAGACCAAGGCGTCCGACTGATTCCAGGTCCGGCGATATCTGTACTCGGCTTCCTTACAGACAAGCCTTTCAAGGAAACCGTGAAGAGCCAAACATGCCGAGTTACTCTTATTCCACAAATTCAAAATAAGCGGGTGTTCTGGACGGGAGCGGGCTTGACCAGCTTTGCTCACCCCCGCCACCTAGCACAAGGTCCAGCTCGCTGCGGGAGGGGGGGGGGGTCGGGTCATTCATTACCAGACATCCAGCGCTCCATTTTTTCGCTCAGTAGACCTCCGGAGGTCTGGGCAACTTTCTCCGGGGCGATTTTTCGTCATGGAATAATTTTTTGACGGCCCCGGGGCCCGTCGAACGAAAACTGCCCAAAACCGAACGCTCCATCTTATCGGAGCCTCGGATATCTGGGCTCCCCCTCCCTCATTCTTTCGCCTACCCCCCCGGAGCCTTCGGCGGGGGCGGGCCCTTCTTGCCCTTGCCAGGGCCCTTGCTGGGCGCCGGTGCGGAGGCCGGAGCTGCCTGCGCGACAGCGTCGGGGCGGGGGGAGGGGAAGAGGGTGCTGACGCAGAGGGAAGGGCGCCTCTCTCGCGTTCCCCCTTCCAAGAGGTCGTAGGCTCCGACCAAGATTGGGGCGGGAAGGATTTGGCTATTTCGGTCTCTAGGGGGCCCCCAACGGGCCCCGGGACCGTCAAACAACGACTCGGGACGCAAAGCCGGCCCCAGTGAAGTTGCCCAGGCCTCCAGGGGTCTACCCATCGAAGAACTTGGAGCGCCGGATTTGGGGGGGGGCACCCCTCTCGCGTTCCCCCTGCCCCTCACCTGACTGGGTAGTCGAAGCCAATCTGGCGCCAATCTGGCAGGCCCAATCTGGCAAACGGAGGCAATCTGGCGAGGGAGCCAACGCGAATCCAGTCTGGCGAATAACCCAAATCACCCAATATGGCCAGGCCAGATTGGCCCTTGGGGCCCAATCCAGTCTGACAGTCTGGCCTTCGACTACCCAGACCCAGCCTGAGACCTGGGCGCTGCAGCTTTGTCACACTGGGCTCTTTCGCACGGTCTCGGGCTGAGGGGCCAACAACAGATCGATCCGGCTCGGAAAAGGAAGCAGAAGGCGGGGTCTGGGGCTCCAGTTGTGAATTTTCGCGATGGTGCATTTTGTCGCAACGTCGAATCTCAGGGTCCCTTCTCCCCCATGTCACTCTTCGCGGCGTCTCTCTCTCTCTCTCTCTCCCTCTCTCTCTTTCTCTGTCTCTTTCCAGGATGTCCAACCGTTGGAGCATCGACGACGGCACCGAAGTACCACTGGCCAGAGCCACCCGGGAAAGGAGTCCTGGGCACCTCGCGTGGTGAGCAAGAGAACCTGGGGCATCACGGCCAATGATACATCGGGGGTCGGGGTTGCGAAGCCGGGTGTCGCACACCCACCCTCCCGTCCAGGAGCGAGGCCGCCATCCTCCACGATGGGGGGGGGAAGCGCTGAGCAGATCCCGAACCTCCTCCCAGTCCTCGCGCAGCAGCTCTTTCCCCCAGGCAAAACCAGCGGCTAAGCCGCACCTTGAGTACGCGGAGGAGGGGGCTATCAGAGAGATGCAACACAGGTGTGATACCACGCTGGAGGATTTTCGGGGTTTTGATGCGTGTGCGCAGGGGGTCAGTCGAGAACGCCGCCTTTCTCTCGCTCCTGAGGCGGAGAAGGAGAATGAATGAGAATGAGGAGGAATTTGCAAGAATCTGTTTCAGAGACAGGTCGCAGCGGTGCTACGCCTCTCCGAGAGTTTCATTACGCGTAATTTAACGCTGTCTCTGGGGGGCTTATTGAACGAGCGGCCCACCCCCCCGTCCGTCCTCCTCCCGAAAGACTTGATAGAACTACCAACCACAAGCAGAGGAGGTCCACTACCCCCAGCTGGGGGGATAGGCCAACTCATCCCCGCTTTCGGAATGAGGTCCTTACGAATTCGGTTCAACATAGTCTTGCCCGGCTGAGTGCAAATATTTCGGCACTCCTGGGCCAGATTGCAAAGTCGCCCGCTGCCCGCAACAAATCTCCAACACCACGCCAGGCCATGCTGCATGGCGATCGAGTGCGAGGGACGCTCCGTCCTTGACCCCACCCGAAGCTCTCTAATACAGGTGGGGGCACGTAGACGTGGTGGCCTTGCTCAATCAGATCCCGCTTAATAACATCCCCGAAACATTTCGTGCTGCCAAGCCACTCTGCTACAGAACACCAACCAAATGTCTGTCGGCACCTCTTGCAAGACCATAAGCCGTTTTCCAGACGGACCAGGTCGTGGCCCGCCTGGGCCTCAAGCGCCTGGAGCTTATACAGCCCCGTCGCCGAGCCAAAAACTCTACGGTCCGATCGGTCCAGGTCCTCGCAAACTTGGGCCAACATCGCCCCGATTCTCTGGTGCACGAAGGTGGCTCTCGCGCCGGCGATGTTCAAACTCTTTACAGCCGGACGGATGGGTAAAAATGCTGCCTCCGCTCCTCGCTGGGCAAGCTGATCCGGCATCTCGTTTCCCCTTGAGACATGCAAACTCTGGCCTACCATTAAATGGGAATCTACATCCAGATGCAAGAAACACTTACGCACTTCAACCCTATCGCCGCCCCTGGTTTGCCAGGCTTCTTTAACTCTTTGCCGCCAGCGCACTGCAGTGCCAGATGGGTTGTCAGCCAGGCCCTGGTGCCAGCCCTGGGAGACGACCTTGCAATCGGTCCAAAGCAAAAGCGGCCCCATGGTGACCCGAAGGGCCCAGACCAGGGCAACGATTTCGCTGGCAGGCACAGCTTGCTCTCCGTCAATGGTGCCGAACAGTCCCCTAAGCGGCCCCTGGTCCACGTCCAGCGCGGCCTCGCCCTCGAAACGAGAGTGCACCCTCCATCCCGCGCGGCACACTCTGGCGTCGCCGGACGTGGCGGAGCCGTCTAGAAAACCTACTTGGGCCTGGATGGGGGTAGATGTCGGAGGGGAGGAGCTCGCAGGAAAGAGTGAGGTCAGGAGGAGGAATCCAAATAGCCCAAACGTCCTGGCCTTCTCCTGAGTTCCACTCGGGGGGCTTGGGCACTGGGTTCCAAGACGGGGGAACGATCCCTCTCATCCAAGAGTTCACATTCTTACCCTCGCGCGGATCATTTTGCGAAACCTCGCGCAGTCCATCAGTCCTGCTCACCCACTCGTGCACCAGCTGGCGGTTCGCCGAGCACTCGTACAGGCGGTGGGCGATGGTGTCTCGCCCAAATTCACATCTCGGGCACTCGTCATCACAATCATAGCCAGCTGCTTTGGCGCGAGCCTTCGTCCATATACCGGCGAACGCGTTGGCCTCCAGTGCTCCAGCTTCTCGATGGAGATCTTGGCGTCGGAGGCGCCACAGGTTGACCCGACGCTTGTGGAGATCTCCTCCTTCTTCCAGTCCGCGGCCCCCAGGATGTTCTGACGCCGTTCTCCAGAGTTCCTGCTGCACCGACTCTCGCCTGGGAGATCTCGTCGCGTGTGTCCTGGCCACCCTGGTGCTGCCACTCGTCGCCCTGGTCGCCAATCCAAATGTCTGGCGCCCTTGGGGTCCAGCCCAGCTCGCGGAGGACCAAGATCAGCGCGCCCATGGGCCCGGTGACGCACTTCCACCTGCCCCTTGGTCTCGTGTAGATCAGCTTTTTGAATACTGCTCTCCACCCGCGGCCGAACCCGTTCTCTCATGGTAGGATTCGCCAACCAGAACTGGAACCAGTTCTTGACCTGGTCCATGATCACACTCACATTGGGCTCGTCGTCCTGGTAGTGCAGCAGCATGGTGGTGGCGGTGCAGCGCCCTCCTGCGGCGTGTCCCGCAAGGTCCGCTGCTCGTGCCCTTCTCATCTTCATCTCAGTTGGTGCCACGCCTGTCACGGGGTCCGCTTACCTGTATGCGGCTCTGGTGTTGGCATTGTGCCGCATGGCCCCTTTGGTGCGTTCGCCTCCACGCCCCACTCGTCGGAAGACAGATGTACGGGTCGCTCTCGCTTGGGCGATGGTCATGCGGCCCTTCGTGGTCTTGCACATGCGCTGCTGGCCCATGGAACGGTCACTCCCCCAACTCTTTGGCCCACCTCGCTCTCTTGATCTTGATGCCTGTCAGCTTGAACACGTTGTTCTTTACTGCAATCTCGTCCGCGGGGTTGGACATCATGAGGATCGGCTTCGGTGAAGCTCGGAGTCCCATGTCCAGCATGCCCTGAATCATGCCAACGCACGCGCTCTTGGCCTGCTCTGACACCATGGCCGCAGGCCCCTCCACTCTCGAGTGCACACTACCAACATACTGACGAATGCTTGCAAGAGGCGCCTGATCATGAGCTCGCCCAAAGAGACGGCACAATAATACCCTCGCGCAGTCGTTGGCTTTGCCACAGCCTGGCACAATGGAGCAAGTGGGGATGATGGCCTCCGCGTAGGCTTCCTGGGCTCAAAGGATACGAGGGGCCAAGTACGTGAGTCAGCACAGGTGCAACTCCACTTCACGGAACTCCAAATCAGTCCCCTGGCTTATCATGAGCGACAGGTCCATGTAGACATTGAATTTCCCGACGTCTACCAGGAAGTTGCTCTGCTCGTTGTAGCCGGTGCGCGCTCTAGTCTCGTCCGGCACCATGGTCTTGGGTGCTGCCAGAAAAGCGCTGCTGCCCTTGATGGCGGCGTCCCAGTGCGCCGCCTTCTTGTCGCACCACTCGGTCAAGGGGGTCTTGATCATGCGTCCCCAGGTGCGGATGGGCATGGGCAGCAGGCCGATGCCACGCTTGTATCCCATCATCTGCTTGTCGCCCTTCGGGAGGAGCGCGAACCAGTCGTGCAGTAACTGGCGTGGCCAGGCCAGGCCCCTCTCCACCATGTCCAGGATGGCCGCGAAGTCGTCCTGCCCTTGGTCGCAGAGCGCGAGAATGTGGTTCGGCCTCCACTGGTCGGAGCCCATGCCCGTGCTCTCCAGGGAGGTCTTCAGCGCTGCTACGAGCCCCTCTCTGTCGTGCTGCGGCCGCGCTGCCAGCTCCTCGGTGGCGCGATTCCAAAGCTCGCCGAGGGCAGCGCGGACCGCTGGCATTCGGCGGGATTGAGACGTCCACCTCTCTTTCCAGCAAGCCGCTCTGATCTCGGTAGTGCCCTGGGCCGTGTCACTCGCCTCCAGCGTCATGGGGGTCCATGCAGGTCTGGTCCAGCGCCCTGTACTCGTACCTCTTCAGGTAGCGGTGGGCACCCTTGATGGAACCCTGCGTGTTCAGCTTCGCCCACTTGCCAATCTCGCTCCTCGTCTGCTGCCATGCCAACAAGGACTGGCATGTCGTAGGGCTCGCGCTTGAACCCACGCTGCGAAGTTCTAACACTGACCGTAGTCTGTGCAGTGTCGGAGGAGCGCACCTTGACGAAGCACGCTAGCATCGTCGCGGTAGACTCGCCGCTTACCACTGTGGTCGTGTTCGTGTCCTGGAGGTACTGGTCCTTCTCCTTCGTGGTGCTGGCAAAGATCCTCAATGCGGCTCTTCGCGATGGATTGGGCGTCTCGTTGATATCGCGTGTGTCGGAACTGCCCGAGTCCGACGGGTGGTTCCTGAACGCGCGCATGCAAGCTCTGCCATTTGTTGTTCGCACGGTCGGCGCTGACGCTACCGAAGTTTGCGTCGGGAGATAGTCGCGCTGCTTTGCGCCATTGGTACTTCAGAGGCATGCCGCGCCTAGCTCCTTGTCGAGGCTCAACGTTGCACAGGTCCGCCAGTTGCGCTCCTGCAGCCGTCGCACACGCTGCGTAGTGCTTGGCCAGCGCCTCGCCCCTGCGGGGCGCCTCGCGGTAATTCTCGCTCTGCTGCGCCTCGCTGATGCTGGCCGTCTGAAGGCCTCGGTGTTCATCAACTGCTCCCGGGCGTCGTTCGCGTAGGAGATCCACTCGGCGTCGTCGCAGCGCAGCTGGCGCTTGGTGGTGCAGTGGTCGTCCAGCAGGTGGTCGCTCTCGGTGTCGAGGAGATCGCCCTGCTGGAGGATGTCTGTCGCGTTCCTGGCTTCCATGAATTTCGCATGCTGCAAGCGGTCTTTTTGATGCCTCTTGGTGCCCTTGAGTAGGCGCACCTCTCCTTCTGGGATCTCCAGCGGCACTGGGGGCACTGGGGCCGCAAGGAAGACTGAGGCGGGCCTCGAAGTGATTCGAATGTCGAGGCCGATGCGCGGCCCCCAAGGCAACGTCTGGATAAGCAAGACCTGTTGCGCAAAGGGGCGGAAGCCGTTCGGCACTATCACGAAGTCGATCACGCGGCCCTTGCAGAGACGCAGGTCACCTCCGCGCCCTCGGGCTGATGACGTCGCCCCGCAGCGCTTCCAGTCAGCTCAGGCGCGACATCTCGCTCGGAGTCACGTTGGAATCGCCGGCCAACAGCTATGGCATCCCCACTGGCTTCTTGACGGGACGGATCGTTGCCAACTTCTTCGTGCTAATTCCTACCAGGCCGATGGGGCAATCAAGGTGGCACACAGCGAAAGCGAACATTGCCCCGTGGACTCGCAGCAGAACCGCGGAGATGTCCTGGAGCACCCGCCCGACGCGCCAGCTGGTGCACCTGCGGCAGGGGCAGTGGGCTTGGGGGCCCTGACTGCATCGGCTGCCGCTGCGCTTGCCTTGATGGCCGCGGTCTTCTGGATGTGCTCGTCGACGTTCTTCGGATCGGAGAAATCCAGGCCGCTCTCTCCGTGCTGCTGCTCGTCCGCGGCCTCTGGTGCTGCTGGTGCTCCTGCTGCCGCTCCCGCTGCGCCGTCAGCCTTGCGCCTATTAGCCGATGTGGCCTTCTCGCGGAGCTCGCGGAGGGTCTTCGCAGCCTCCTGCGCCTGCTGGCCGATGTCCGCCGCGTTCCCGTAGACCTGCTGCGCCTGCTTCGCGCGGCCGAGCGCGCCCAAGCACGCCTGCTTCTGCTCTGGCGTGAGGAGCTCCGCGTCCTCAGCCGCCAGCTCGGGGAACTGGAAAGGCGCGTCCTGCTTGTCCTCCTCGGGCTTGGTGGGGCACGCGCCCTTGGGCGCGGCGGCGAGGCTGGTGAGGCTGTTGGCCTCCGCCGCAGGCTCGGGCGTCTTCTTCCAGCTTGCCCAAGAGCTCCTTCCCATGCTTCGCGTTGGCCACCAACTGCGTCTTGGGCTTTTCCTGCTGGGCGTGCAGCTTGCGCAGGCTGCCCGCCTGTTTCTCCAGAAGTATTTCAATGGCCTCTGCGGTGGGTTGCCGGTCTGCTTCAGCAAGTGCGGGGCAGGCCAAGTCCAGCGCCTTGACCGCAGCCTCGCCCTTGTCGGCCTTGGCTGCCTTGTGCTTGGGCAGGAGCTGTTCGACGAGCAGGTCGGTGGCGCCGCTGGAGCTGGACTGGCCGTCCTGCAATGCGCAGGTAACTTCCCCGCGGTTGCCGGTCTGCTGCTTGGGCCAAGGAACTCGGCAAGTCCGACGGGTCTCCCAACCTGGGGTGCCAGCTCTGTTGCAATGCGCCCACGAACCAGGGCGGCTGCGGCAAACAGTATACGCGTGGCGACGTTTAGCGTGGGTCGATGGTGGCCTCGAAACATCTCTGCTCTTGGCTCGTGCGCTGCCGCTCCGACCCGTCAACTCGATTTGTCGGTCACTCGACTTTCGCCGCCTGAATGGCGCCCCTCAAGCCGCGGGGGCGCGTGGCAGACCGCTGAGCCTGCCCGCGCTCGGCACGCGCGGGCGCCGCGCGGGCGGGGGCCTGCTCCCAAGGAGGCCCTCGTGCCGCAAATGGCTTGAGATGAGGGGGGGAATCCAGGGATTCTGCCAAGGCGTGGCCTGAATTGCACACGGGCCGCCCCTGAGCTCGAAATTGAAGCAGACGAACCAGCAGACGAAGGGCAGAAGCCGGCAGACAGCTGATGAATCTTGCCAGTCGCAGAAGCCAGCCCGTGCACGACCATAGTAGCAATACCATATAAACTACCAAGCCTGTCCAGTATGAAAAACAAGGAACCAATTTGCCGAAATGGCTCCATATTGACATAGCCCGTGGCTAGGCAGAAGTGAGTTTGACTCTATGATGCCCTAGCTGTGCCGACGCGGCGACACTGTCGATCACTGGGCTAAGTCAAACGGATCAATGAGCTCGCCTCGCCCACAAACCACCTCGCCCCAGCCGACCGAAGGAAGTACCACCGACAGCTGAAGTCCCAGACCTGCATGCTAATCGAGACGCCCTGCACGACGAGCGGGGAAAACTGACCATTTGGCATAAGCACACTGAACTTGCCACTGAACCCACGCCAACATATGAGTCCAAGCCATGCCCCGCCCAAGCAAGTCGAGATGAGAAGGCCGCCAGTGAGGGCACTGGCGGAACGGCTTGAACCAATATGATGCTGAGTCCTCAACAAGTTCGAAAGGGTACGCTAGTCCACTCCAACCTGATAAGTGAAACTGCTCCGATGGGACCGCGTGCTGTAAAACTGCTCGCCCTGCTCGCGCGCGCCGATACCAGCGCAATCGGAGATGAGGTCAGGGCCCGAGGACAGCAACCATAAAGGCCTAAGATAGCAGATGAAACCGCACGTGCCGGACATGCAAGGCAATACTCCGCACGGGATGGCGGACGCGCCAACCCTGCAGCCCGCCTGGGCCTGCGGCTCGATGCCAGGCACGCTAACCCAAACCAGCATGGTAAATGACGACACTCCGATGGGACCGCATGTTGTATAGACCACGTCGCCCTTCTCGCACGCGCCGAACCCAGCACGGTGGAAGATGGGGTTCAAGCCTAAGAACAACAACCAAAAGGCCCCAGGATAGCAGAATATGTCGCACGTGCCGAAGATGTGTGACATCTCCTCGTCGCACGAGATAGCGCCCATGTCGAAAATAGCAAACCTGGGCCTGCGACGTGAAGTACGCGGTGGGCGAGCCGTTGCGGATTGCGCAGCAGACGTAGCAGAGCGCCTTGCAGCAAAACTCCACCTCAAAGCAGCGCAGTGCTTCGCTCGCCATGCACCCAATGTACCCGTCGTCGCTGAGGCAGCCTTCGTAACTGCAGTAGCGCGAGTCCGTGACGATGATCGCATGGTTGCCGAGCATTTCACCTTCGCCGTCCAGTGAGGACAATCCAACATAACAGCCACCGACTCATACTGGTTCACCCTGTTCTCCTCGATTTAGCCAACCCACCTAGCCTGGACTCGCTGGCCCGGACGTCGCGGGTGCCACTCAAGCGCCACGGTGAGGCATCGAGGAGCGACTGAGGACTTGCGATGGAGCCAAAATCACAACGGAAACCCTCGAGCCGCATGTGCTTGAGGAGGGGAGGAAGGGAGGAGGAGGAAGAGGAAGAGGAGGAGGAGGAGGAGGAGGAGGAGGAGGAGGAGGAGAAGGAGGAGGAAAAGGTGGCGGCGGAGGTGGCAGCGGCTGTGGCGGCGGCGGCGGAGGACCCCTCCTCCCCGCACTCCCACACACATCCCTCCCTTGGGCGTCTCCTTCCCGCCGCCGCCTCCTGCCCCTCCTCCTCCTCCTCCTCCTCCTTCCCCTCCCCCTCCCCCCCTCCTCCCTCCCCCCCCTCCGCCGCCCCCGCTCGGGCCGCCCCCCCTCTCCTCCCGCCATCCGGCCTCTGGCGCGGCGGCCGCGGCGTCCTGCGGCCCGGGCTGCGAGCGGCCTCGGCGGCCGGGGAACCCGCGAGGGGGGAGCCTCCTCCGCCCTCCTCCTCCGCCTCCTCCGTCCCCTCCGCCCTCTGCGCCTTCCTCCTCCTCCTCCTCCTCCTCCTCCTCCTCGTCCTCCTCCTCCTCGTCCTCCTCGTCCTCCTCGTCCTCCTCGTCCTCCTCGTCCTCCTCGTCCTCTCGTCCTCCTCGTCCTCGTCCTCGTCCTCGTCCTCGTCTCGTCGTCCTCCTCCCTCCTCCTCCTCCTCCTCCTCCTCCTCCTCCCTCCCCCTCCTCCCCTCCTCCTCCCCCTCCTCCTCTCCTCCTCCTCCTCCTCCTCCTCTCCTCCTCCTCTGCCTCCTGCTCCTCCTCCTCCTCCTCCTCCTCTCCTCCTCCTCCTGCTCCTCCTCCCTCCTCCCTCCTCCTCCTCGTCCTCCTCGTCCTCGTCTCGTCCGTCGTCCTCGTCCTCGTCCTCCTCCTCCTCCTCCCTCCTCCTCCTCCTCCTCCTCCTCCTTCTCCCTCTCTCTCTCTCTCCTCCCTCTACCTCCCTCCCTCCCTCCCTCCTCGTCCTCCTTGTCGTCCGCGTCCTCCTTGTCGTCGTCGTCCTCCTCCTCCTCCGCCTCCTCCTCCTCCTCCTCCTGCTCCTCCTCCTCTCCTCCTCCTCCTCCTCCCTCTGTCTCCCTCTATCTCTTTCCCTCCATCCTCCCTCCCTCCTCGTCCTCTTCGTCCTCCTTGTCGTCGTCGTCGTCGTCGTCGTCGTCGTCGTCTTCCTCCTCCTTGTCCTCCTCCTCCTCCTCCTCCTCGTTGTTGTTTCTTCTCCCTCGCCTCCTGCTTCGAGCCTAGTCCCCTCCCTCCCTCCATCCATCCTGCCCCCTTCCAGAGTGTCCTGGCAAGTCCCAGCAGCCGTGCCGCCGCTTTGGGTCGTTGTGGCCGGGTCACCTGGACATTGATCCCTAGAACGAGCGAGCATCTTCTTCCCTCGTCTAGCTTGAAGTCACGTTTCTCTGCACGGCCCTTGCGCTCTTGCGAGCGTTGCTCGACTCCGGATCCACCGCTTGTCTCGCAGAGGAGGGCCGGCGAACGAGTGTGGCGCAGAGAGGCGATGGAGGGTCGGCGAGCGAGAGCGGCGATCGAGTGTTTGCAGCTTCGCTCCCATGCCGCGCCTTTTTCCGAGGGCTCAGGGCCGAGGTCGTCGTCCCAGCCTTACCCCCTCCTCGTCTGCAGCCTCTCTCTCGCCCTCCCTCCTTAAGCCACTGTGTCGTAGCGGAGGGCCGGCGATCGATAGAGGCGACAGTCGAGGGCCGGCGAGCGAGCTCAGCGATATCTCTGCAGCATCGCTATCTTGCCCAGTTGTTCCCGAGCGAGGAGGCGCCAGGTCTGCGTCCCAGCCTTACCCTCTCCTCCTCGATTATCTTTACTCCTCCTCCCCTCGCCCCTCCTCCAGTGCCCAGACCGTCGCAGCAAGCCCCTTCAGCGTTTGCCCGCCAAGCTGCTTATTGTTGTGGGTGGGGGTCAGGATGGATCGGAAGGGAGTGCCGTACGTAAGTGCGAAGAAAAATCTTCCTCCGCTGCCGCCGGCCGCTTTGACTCCCACCTGTCCCGGCATAGAGTTTCTGCGTGATGTTCCCACTTGCGGTGCCGCCGTGCCTCATATATGCCAAGGTGAGTCGTTGCCAGTCCCCGGCAACCTCGAGTAGGGAATGTGGTCTGCGTCCCAGCCTTCCTCCTTCCCGCTTGGCCTCGCTCTTATTGTACGTAATTATTTCCCCCTCCCTTCCTCCGCCCCTCCGCCCGAATGCCCTGGACGGGCACAGCAATCCACTGTCGCATTTTTTCGCGTTTGCCGTCCAATTGCCCATATTGAAGGGTGGGGGATGCAGCAACGAAGATTGGGAGGTCTGGACTCCTTGCTTCGGTTCGACGCGTTCCGTCCGCTCTGTCGCGGGGGTCCCATGGTACTGTACTGTACTTGCGTTCTTGGTGCCCGTGCAGATGTCTCAGCTTTTTCGCCATCCTGCTCCGCTCTCCGCGCTGCTCCTCTTCTGCTGCTGCTGCTGCTCCTCCGCCGCTCCGTTCTCAACCTCTTCCTTCCCATTATCCTTGTTCCTGCTTCCCCTCGTCTTCGTCGTCCTCCTCCTCTTCCTGTTTTACTCCTGCTTCTTCTCTCTCCTACCGGCCCGTCCTCGGGCGGAGGAAGAGGAGGAGAAGGAGGAGGAAGGGCAACGTGCGTGAAACGAAAAGGAAGAGGAGGAGGAGGAGGACAAGTGTAAACCCAAGACTCATCAAAGATGTTGGAATACATCCTCCCCAAACTCCCTCTTCATAGGCCACTACAACCTTTCATTTCCACAGAAGGAAGTGCCCAGTCGGGAAACAACCTTTTGAAGATCCTGAACCGTGTCAAAACAACATTCCATGGACTTCAACGCCACGGATGAACCGGACTGTTGCGTCTTGGCGGCTCTGTATCGTGCCATAGCACCATTCCTGATACTTTAACATCGCGAATCAGCGTAAGTGTTGCGCTCTGTCAATCATGAACCGTTGCACAGCACAATGTCTGGTTTCCTTGGGAATTCGTGAAGTTCTTGCAGATGGTTAACACGAAAATGCGCAGCGCTAAGACGATAACCACATTTTGAAAAAGAGTCGCCCTCAATCCGTGAAGCTCTTGCAGCATTTGCAACAGATGTGCTCGGCGCAAGAGAAAACCACACTTTAAAAAGGTACCGCCCTCAAGCCGTGATGCTTCTGCAAATGTTTAAGACGAGCGTGCGCGGCGCTAAGACGAGAACCACATTTTGAAACTGAGCCGCCCTCAAAACGTGACGCTCTTGCAAATGTTTAAGACGAGCGTGCGCGGCGCTATGGCGAGAACCACATAATCAAACGCAAACGACCCCATCAATCAGTGAAGCTCTTGCAAATGTTTAAGACGTGTGCGCGGCGCTGAAGCGATAACCACAGAGTATAAGGAACCGCCCTCAATACGTGAAGCTCTTGCAACTTTTCAGAACGAATGTACGCGGCGCTAAGGCGAGAACCACTTTGCACGGCGCTAAAGCGAGCATCACATTTGGAGAGCCAGTCGCCCTCCATCGGTGAAACTGTTGTGAATTATTCGACGTCGGGGTCATCGAAGTGAGGAAGTCTCAGGCGAAACGCCCAGCCCGCCCTTTCGACCAGCCTCTGGGGGCGACATGTAAGAGTTATTCAAAAGGGTAAAGAATGGAGGATAATGAGAATGAGGAGGATGACGAGGAGGAGGCGGAGGAGGAGGAGGCGGAGGAGGAGGAGGAGGAGAGTTGCTGATGATGGTAATGACGACGATGATGGGGAGGAGGGTTGATGAGGGGCAGGTTGAGCACAAGGGATAATTTAATATCTGAGCGCCTTGGCCCAAACGGTCGCCATGATCGTGAACAATCTGTCATGAGACCAATATTCAAATTACCTGTGCTGCCAGGAGCTCACTGCTTCTCTTCTTCTTCTTCTTCTTCTTCATTCTCCCATTCCCCCCCCTCCGCCGCCATCCAACACTTCCTCCTCCTCTGGCTTTTCTGCAGGCCTCTCTCTCCCTCTCTACCTTTCTCCTCCCGTCGCCCCGCCTTCGCTCTCCTCTGCCCTCCCCCAGCGCTTCCTCCCCTCGTTCGGCGGCAAGCTGAAGGGGGAAATGAGAAGGGGCAAGGGTTCTCAGAAGGCGGCGGGATCCCTGAGCAGCCCTGCAGCCTGCCGAGAAGCTGTCCGTGTCTTCGCAGACGCCTTGCACTGGGCCCGCCCCCTCCGCCTGCCCCCCTGGGCTGTATTCCCCTCCTCCAGCGGCTCGCGGCCTCCGCTTCCGGCGTGTGCAGCTGCCGCCGCCTTCGGGGCGGATCGCGGGGGGGAAAAGAGGCGGCAGCCGACCGACGAGCAGGGTGGGAGCGGCGCGCGTTCGGGTGATGGCTGGGGCAGGCGCGTTCGAGAGTGTGGCGCGCGACCGTTGGCGGCAAGGGTTCGAAATTGCCAGCACGCTCTTGAAACGATCGGTAGAGACGTCTTTCCGCCATGCCCCAGTCGCTCAGTCGACTTGATGATTCGTATTCTTTCACGCTGCATCGCTGCTTTGCGCTTCGTTGGGTGCGGCGATGCTCGTCCATGTCCGCACCCAAGAACCCGAAGCCTGTAAACAAAACAACACATGATCGTAAGTCCGTATCCGTACCTTCCGTGTTGCTACACAGATGAAGAAACCGGGGGCGGAGGAGGATGATACGAATGCTACTTGTGACTGCGAGACGAACGCGACAAAGAACGCGCATGTTTGACCAGAGGCGATTCTTTGACCACCAGCCCCAGCATGTACGACCGTGGTGCCTTGCCCTGCACGCAACATCACCCCCGAACCCCAAGGATGTTTTCCGAAACCCTGGCGTCGTGCACAGCAAGCCCACACCGCAACGTGGCACTCGTGCACCCGCGGCCTTCTCGGAGAGCCACCGAGTCGAGCCCGGCATGAGACTGCGCCTCCTGTGCCTCCTCTACCTTCAGGCCCCTGCTCCTCCTCCTTCTTCTCCCATCCCTGAGGGGCGGTCCCCCGCGGAGTCCTCTCCTTGCAGCACCTTGTACAGGACGCTCTTGTGCGGGCCCACCGCCAGGCGCCCACGATGGATATGGTTGCTCCTCCTCCTCCTCCTCCTCCTCCTCCTCCTCCTGCGCCCGACGGACGTCCCCGAACAGTCACAGCATATAAATTCGCGCCCACGGGCGAACGCATCGGCAACAGCTCCTGCACTTCCGCGTGCAACAGAAACACAAACCGGCATAAGCGTAGACTTTCGGGGGTCCGCGCGGACTTCTTGGATCTGCGCTGGGTCCCTTGGCGGCGCCTCTGGCGCAGCAGGTGCGGCGGAATATGCTAAGCGAATGAATGCGGCGGGCCCCCCTGCAGGCCTCAGCCGTGTTGGGCGACCTCTGGATTGCTGGCTGGATTGCAAGATACTGGTCTGCTAGTTGCTCGTAGGGGGGGGGGGGAGCGGCCTCCGCGGACTTCGCTGGCTAACTGCGTAGACTCTCCTGAGATACATGCAAACATGATGGATCTGCGCCTCTAGGCTCTAGGGACACACGCGCACTGTTCCTCCAGCGGCGAAATGACTACACCGGCGCAAGCGCTAAGCCAGGGTACGCTTAGACGAACTACCACCCAGCGTGGCAGATGGGTGGACTGGACGGGAGCAGTCGCGTGCAAGAAAAGAACTCAACGCGAAGGCAGATGCACGAGGAAGAAGCTGGAACACATGCAATGCAATGCAATGCAATGCAATGCAATGCAATGCAATGCAATGCAATGCAATGCAATGCAATGCAGGAGGCGAAGGCCCTCAGCCAAGCCTGTGGAACGCAGCCGGCTGCAAGGGCGCGAGCGAGCGAGCGGCGCAGTAGAGAGCCCCTGCGAGGCCGCGGCTGCAAGGCCGCGGGGGGCAATGCGAGGCGCCGCGAGCACCCGCCGAGCGTGCGTGGTGCCGAGCAGCAGCCTCCGCAAGCTGCAGCAGCGAAGTGCCCTGCGCCGAGGCCCCGCCCAAGGGGGGAGAAGGCACGCACGGAGGAAAGCATCCAGGCAGTGGGGCGTCAGCGCCCGCGCCACGGCGGCAGCAAGAGCCGGCAAGATCGGGGAACCTTTGATCCCGACCTGCGCGCTGGGGACACACGTGCACACACGAACAAAGTGTCTGCGGCGGCCCCCCGGCGGGCCTCAGCCGTGCTGTACAAGACAGCCACCACATGGCGGACTAGACTGCGAGATGCTGTGGGAGGGTGTAGCTATGTGTCCATGTGTTTGCTTCGCCTGTTGCCTTCCCGCTCCCTTCTTCGCCTTCTCCTCGCCCGCCCTTCCGTCTCCCCGCCTCTGGCGCCTGCTACGCCGCGCCTCGCCTCCTCCTGCTGCCTCTTGCGCCTGATCCGCCCGGTCCCCCTCTTGTGCCCGCTCTTCTTTTCCTCTCACCCTGATCAACGGGATCTTGAGCCATCGCTAAGCGCTTTAGCGTTGGCTTGAGCCCAAATGGCTAAGGCTTGCCGCCTGAGTGTCGAGACGCCCACTGGCATCCCGACCCAGCCAAAGGCGAGGGCCAAGCGCAGGACGCGCTTTTGTGCCGCCCGCCAGTCTCTGTAGCTGAGGACGAGCACCAGACCAAGTCCAACCTACCACACGTTGCCCTCCAACCATCCGCTGCTGGCGCCTGCTCCTTCCCGCCTAGTCGTCTTGCCCTTCCTTGCTGCCCCGCCGCCCCGGTCTCCTGGTCCCTCCTTCCTCCCCGCTTCCGCTCCGCCTGGCCCGCTCGTTGAGGCTGCTCTCACTCGTTTCCCCTCCGACTAAGGCCGCTACGTTGCAAATCGCGCCGCTTCCGAGGGAAAACATGTGGGTGTCTGCGCCGCATTCCGCGAAGCATCCGTCCGTACACACTTCTGGGGCCCGCAACAAAAACGATGGATTTGCGCTCTCGGGGCCAGAACCTTTGTTGAACAACAAATCAAATGGCTCCCAAGGCTCAAGACTGTTTGAATACGTCTCCAGGAGACTCGCAGCCGGCCTTTCGACTTCCAAATCGGCCCCCTACCCCCCCAGGGACGCCAAGATGGCTCCAATAGAGCGCGATAAGCACGAGCTGGCTCTGGGATAACTCCAAGATGGCCCCAACATTGTGTCAAGGTAGGTCCCGAGCGGTGTCCAAGAGGCCCCCGAGGGACCTCCCAGACGGTCCAAGAGAACCAGCATTTCCCCAAGATGGGCGCAGAAGTCCCAAGCTGGCCTTGAAGACGGCCTCAATATAGCTCCGAGACGACTGAAGATATTTCCAAGGCGGCTCCAAAACCTCCCCCCCCCAGGGCATACGGAGCCCAAGCACGTAGAAGACAGCCTGAAAAAAAGACCAACCAACAACTACGCCAGGAACGACCTGAGGCCATTCCACGTGATGGTCACTACTTCGTGAATGTATGTGCTCGCTTCCCCGCGGGAGCCCCCCAGGACTCCCGCTCAGCGGGCCCGTTTTCTCCTCCGCCAACGCAATGTTTTGAGACGTGGGCCCCTGGGGATCTCGACCCCGTCCACGGGGCCAGGTATACGTTTTTAGTTGTTTGTTGACAGTCCCCGGGCCGGGAGACAGCCTCCAGAAGCCGAACATGCAAACAAGCCTGCCGTCGTGACTGTCAGCACCGCAGGGATCTGGATGTCACGGACTTGAATGATTCACCTCTCCTCCTGCCTGAACAACAACGACAGGGAGGACCAACTCAGGGGGGAAACCTCGAGTTTGAATCGGCAACGCATCGCCGACTGATCGGCGATAGCCCCCGATGGTAGATCCGCACGTCCCCGGGCGGGGTGGGCTATCGGGACCCTATCGGCGATCCATGGGCAATGGAGTTTGAAACTGGTCGGGAGGCCCAACCAGATGCTTCGCCAAAGGCGAAGCATGCGTCCAACCCTGTTATACCGTATCAACGATAATCCCAGAAGTAGGAGAGAGCCGCGGCTGTGGCGATACATGTCCAGCGAAGGTGTTTTCGGTCTCGATGGATAATAACGCGCATCTAAAAGGCACAATCAAATATTGGCGGCCGGCCGCTTGAACACACACGGCCGCGGACAAACGCTCGATACCTCTTGCCTTTGCCCAGCCTCCTTTAGAATCGGGGGGGGGAGAAGACGAAACGTGAACCCGCCGCCGGCTATACAGCAAAACAGCTATAATACACAAGGTAGGCAGCAGCAGGAGGGCTCAACCTAGGCAAGTTGCCCCGCAGGCAAATTACCTGGCAGGCAAATAACCCTGCAGGTAGCTACTCCTCAGGCGGTTCAGATGATCTCGTCTGGCCAGCCCTTTAAGGAGCGTGTCGCTTCAAGTCGTGCTTGAAGGATTGCACCCCTCCCATGACTTGGAGGGGCATATCTCTGTCGATGCCCCATTGGTGTGGCCATCCGTACTCATATCGCGAGTGTCACACAGCGGCACGCAATGCTCGGCATCTCGCTCCATCACTTGCCGTATCCAACTGATGTGTTCCAAAACTGTACACTCATTCGGCTTCTTCAGGTCTTTGCTTGACAAGGATTTGAAGACGGATTCTGCATCAATGGTCAGAGTGACCTTACTGCTCAGGCCGCCCATCTCAAGGATATCCTTCAGTTGAGTGGGTGTCAGCGGCCCTGCGTGGAGTTCGTGCAGCGTGACAACTGTGGGGCAACAGTCTTCCGCATTGTGGGCTGCTGCTAGTGCTTCCGCAAAACAGCTCGAGCGGACTTGCAAGCCATGAGACTTGCAGTACGCGTCGGCAAGATGGACGACGGGCTTGCCAGCCTGGTGTCCACGCCTTAGCAGGTTTGCCCCGCGAGAACCATAGCCTTCGACTTCGTCATCTGCATCTCCGTTCAAACGACGGTAGCCGGAGTCGCTATGCAGGTCGACCTCGCCCGTTGGTGTCATCGCTTTATGGGCGATCTTCTTGGGGCAGGCCTGCACCTTCCTGGTAACCGCGTTAAATCGTCGCAGTTGCATATTGGTCGGTTTTCGGACACGATGCTGTGATACAACATAGATCGTTAACCGCACTTGTGTGATAAGTGCGTAAGCCAGAAAGCCTCTGAGGCTGACAAACATGTCAGTGACCATCTTCGATGCCTTAGCGTCAGCATCTGCGCCCGCGAGTTCATGATGCTGGGTCGGACGGAGCTGTTTTATGTATTCATCTTGGTCAAGAGTAGCGTTGCCGTCGCTGTCCTTGATATATATCACTGCACAGTTGGTGCGGGCGTGTTTGTTGAGTTTACATTTCCCGCATGTATCCTCGACACACTTGGCGCGCTTGTCGATGGTGTCCTCGGT